AGAAGCCGGTGCTCTTGTTATCCCAGCGCAGGCCACCTCTAGCTCCTCCAAGATGTCTCTGGGTGACCTCACTGCTGTCTCTCTTCTTGATCAGGCCGCAGACAGCGATGATGACAACGACCCCATGCAATTCGTGGGCCTGACGGGAGAGTTCAACCTTACTGCCTACCCCGAGGGTCAAGACGCCGAGCTCAACGGCGTCACCGGCGACGTCAATATCACAACATACGGGGAGCAGAACCTCGTCGCTGAGCCCCAGAAGGTAAGGACTTGCCTTGTCATCTTCTTGATCAGGCCGCAGACAGCGATGATGACAACGACCCCATGCAATTCGTGGGCCTGACGGGAGAGTTCAACCTTACTGCCTACCCCGAGGGTCAAGACGCCGAGCTCAACGGCGTCACCGGCGACGTCAATATCACAACATACGGGGAGCAGAACCTCGTCGCTGAGCCCCAGAAGGTAAGGACTTGCCTTGTCACTGAGCTGCGAACTGCTCACTGGGCAGGTCTGGAGCAAAGCCTCAACCCCTCACCTGGCTGAAGGTCCCGAGAGAGCAATTTCCCTGGTGCAGGATCTCCTGGACGCTTTGTATTCCCTGACAAACCCTGGTGTAAGAGGCAGGAGTTCTAAATCAAAGGTTTGGGAGCGAGGCAGCCGATGTTCCCAAAGAGAACCACATTTTGATTATCCAGTTGGTGATAGTGCTGCTCCTTCTGCTCGTTTACTCTCAACTAACCCGGGGCTGCTTTTCCTCAGGTCAATAAGATAGCCATTCAGTATGCAAAGACAGCCAAGAAAATGGACATGAAGAGGCTGAAGAAAAACATGTGGGACCTCCTGACTGACAGACAGGACAAAGAAACGGTGGCAGAGGTGAGCACGGGGGGAGCCAGGTACTCAGCAGGCCCCACGGGTAACTGCGTAACTCCCGCACAGACACTTGTGGGCAGGTTTTCACAGCACTTCCCTTTGAGTGGCCTTCCTCCTGTAACTTGCAGCATTTTTTATATTTTTTTTTTTTCTATCTGAGCGCTGGGCAGCACAGCCTGGCTCAGCAGCCTCTGTCTTTTTGCTAAATAGACGGAAGATGCAGAGAAAGAGAAGGACGTGTCAATGGTAGCGGGAGAGAAGGTCTTCAGCAGCATCACGAAGGAGCTGCTTCACAGGTAGAGTGGCCCTAAAAAAGGCTGGACTGAAGATGGGGGGGGACAGATTTCACCCGAGCCTGGGTGAACACCCTCTGAACCACCACAGAAGGAAGGGGAAACCCTTCCCTTGCTCTGTTTCCCTGGGGGTGCTACAGGTCAGCAAATTCTTTGCTAGCACGAGGCAAAAAGGTAGAGAAAAACCAGATCCCCGAGAAGGACCTCGTTTTTGGTTACCCGGTCCTTGTAGACACGCTCGGTCTGTCGGGTTTCGGTAGGTTCTGACCATCCTAACCTTTATTTTTTTTTCTGTAGGCTGCCTGCTGCGATGGCTAACAATCTGTCAGTCCCCTTGGCCTTCGCTTGCCTCTTGCACCTGGCAAATGAGAAGGTGAGCACGGCGTGCGCCCGGGAGGCGCGGTGGGAGCACGTTTAAGTCCCGGTTTCGTGCTTACCGCAAACATAAATCAGGCTAACGCGCTCGGAGCCACAGCTTAACCCGTGGTTAAGCACTCGTAGGATTTCCAGCCAAGCTGCCATCTGTCCTTCCTTGCCTCCAGGTCTGGCTGCAGAGGGGTGAGCGCTGTGTTGCTCAGAGTTGTTCTGAGCATCAGGAGAGTTTCAGGCTTCAGTTGGAAGCCTCAGTCTTGCACCAACAAGAAAGGGCTGGGGTAGTTCTGAACCTTCATCGCCTGGGGTTTATTTTTTATGCCAGGCCTTCAAGGGAAGAGTCTGGCTTTGTCAAACTTTGGGTTTCTCCTGTATTCCCAGAATCTGAAGCTGGAGGGCACGGAGGACCTGTCTGATGTCCTAGTGAAACAAGGCAACTGAGCCCACCGGGGCTGACCCGCGGGACAGAGCTCAGCTTCCCGGCTCCCCGCTGCTCGCTCTGGACTATCGTCTCCTCAGTGGCGGATTTTTCTCCTCCCAGCACCGTTGCTGAGAAATCCCACTGCGCCTCAGGAAGACTTTTAAATCAAGGCTATCCTGGCTCAGACAGGATCCCTACAGATGGATGGTTGCAGCTCAGCCTGCCTGGCTTCTGCCATCTTCAATCCAACGGCTCTTTCCTGCCTCTGGGTCACGGAGTTCCTCCACCTCACTGTGAACCCCCTGCGAGCTAAAAGCTCCTCTGTGTGTCCCTCACCAGCACGTGGACTGACTGTTACTCCTGTCTCCAGTTCCTCCTGTAGTTCCGTTCATCCCATGAAACGATTTACCTTTTTATACCGAGCTTAAAGATAATAAATTGCTACAGACTTTTTTAGATGGGCCTTTGAGATGGGGAAGGAGAGGGTTTCCAAAATGGGAGAGGTTAAAATAACACCCGAGTGTCAGGGAGCACCAAAAGCCCTTTTTCTTTTCCCAAAAGAAAGGCAAACCAGGAGTCAGAGAGAGGGGGTGTCCAGTACCTGAACAACACCACGAGCAGGACCAACCCGGAGCACCAAAAGCCCTTTTTCTTTTCCCAAAAGAAGTCAGAGAGAGGGGGGGTCCAGTACCTGAACAACACCACAAGCAGGACCAACCCGGAGCTGGTGGCGAGTTGAGATCATTCGGCAAGCGCACGGTGCTGAGACGGGGCCAAGATCAAGCTGGGACATCAGTCTGTAGGTCAGGATTAGGACCAAGGTGATGACAGGTGCTCCCAGCACAGCTCAGATGGGGACTGGAGCCCTTCCAGTTGAGCTCCTGGGCCATGGGTGTGGGTCCAAGCCCCTGGTGAGGCTGCTCAAAGCCATTAGGGCTTATTAGTGCCCTGGGTCCTAACGAGCTGTGTGGAGAAGCTGTTCTCTAGAGGGTGGTGGAGCTTAGACCTGGCTCCAGTGCTGGTCCTGCGCTGCCAGCTCTGCCCCAAGGGTGTCACTGGGCCAGGGGGGCAGTTTAGGGGCAGAGGAATTGCTTTTTAAGTCAAATATTCACAAAAGGCACTTGGAGAAAGGGTGTATTTCCTTGAGTTGCAATCCAGCTGAGGGGACACCTGCACAGGAAGCACCAGCAACTCCCCCAGGAGCCAGAGCTTTGAGACCTGTGGGGGAGACCTCCCCAAGGGGCTTCTGGGGCAGTTTGGGGTGACAGCACCCGCTTCACCCCATCCCCTCCAGCCCGGCAAGGGTGGGCTTGAGCACCCCTTGGATTCCCACTGCGTCCCACCCCGGCTGCTCGGCATCCCCAGGGCAGCTGCTCCTCACGTTGCCTTTGAGATCCTTCAGCCCCATCTCCCAGGAGAGCCGTGGGAGGGGTCCCCGGGGAGCCTGGGGTGTAACATCAGGAGGCGAGGTGGTTCTGGCCCCTTGTCCCGCCGTGGGTGCCGGGCAGCCCTCCTCGCCGCTGTACCAGCAGCGAGTTCCCCAGCTCCTCCTCCAGCATCTGGGGGAGAAGAGAAGAAAGACAGAGAGAGAGAAGAAAGACAGAGAGAGAGAAGAAAGACAGAGAGAGAGAAGAAAGACGGAGAGAGAGAAGAAAGACGGAGAGAGAGAAGAAAGAGAGAAGAAAGAGAGAAGAAAGAGAGAAGAAAGAGAGAAGAAAGAGAGAAGAAAGAGAGAAGAAAGAGAGAAGAAGAGTCACTACACTTGGAAAAGACCTCCAAGATCATCAAAAGTCCAACCACCAACCCAAGGCTAAGCCACTTGGGGATCGTGCCCCTTGGGTGATGGGACGAAGCCTCTTGGTCGGTCACAGCAGGAGCAGCGGTTCCTGCAGCAGCAGCAGGAGGAACTCAACGCAGCCCTGCAGAGGGTTGTCCAGGAGCACAAGAAGAAGGTGATGTCCATCGACTGGGAGTGCATCAACAAGATCCACAGCCTCAGGAGAGGTGGGCTGGGCTGGCAGGAGGAGGGTGGAGGGTTCCTAGGGAGGGTGCTGGGGAGTTTTCGGAGGTGGTGACGGTGCTGCGGTCTTGCTACATGGCTAAGACACCACTAACCCACGTGCCAAAGTCTACGTGTTTTTTTCGAAGGCGGTGCTCAAGCTGTGGCCGCAGCAGCGCTCAGCACAGGGAGAGAAGCAGCGCTGCCACGTCTTGGGCCCCTCTGTGGCACCCTGCGAGGTGGGTCAAGGCGGGGAGGAGAAACAACAGGCAGAGGGGTCTCTAAAGCAGCTTAAACTCTGTGCAGGGAGCATCTGAACCTCGAGTATCTCAGTGAATTGGACTTTGCTGGTCCTGAGACACGTGGGGAAACCCAGACCCTTTGCAGCACGTTCATCCCAAGCGCCGCCTTTCCTCAAGCGATCGGGCTTTTTGAGATAATCCTCGGGTCGTAACGCTAAAACCTTTTGGAGAGAGCAGGTCTGGACACGGGGGCTCGGTCCTGCGAGAGGACACGCAAAGGGCTTAGAAGGGACCTTGGAGTTCAGGTCTTGCCCACGGGAAGGAGAACTGGCCCTTTTTTGGGGACGAGAACCACCACCCGTCTTCGGTCTGAATGTCCCTCCAGCTGCGCTTCCACCTCATCTGTGACAAGAATCGTCCGTAGTTTCTCTGTCTGGGTCTAAGTTTCGGGGACCGCTCACCTCCTTGCGGGCAGCCAGCCGCCGCTTCCACTCGCTCAGCTCCATGGCGTGCTCCTGGTCCAACTTTTCCAGCTGCCTCCTCTCCTGCTCTGCCAAGAGGCGCGTCTTCTCGCTCTGCAGGAAGGAGGGTGCTCGAGGAGGGGGAGCAGGGATGCGGGAAGGTCCCGCTCCCCTCGGGCAGGA